ATTGGGTGCTACTTAGGCGTATAGAAGACTTGGTGTGGGCATGGAAAAGAAAATTTCGCGATAAGGATAGCAAACTTCTATGGAATCTTATCCCGAGATGCATTGTATGGTGCATATGGAGAGAACGGAACGATTGATATTTCGAAGACCAAACAAAGACAACAGAGCAGATAAGAGAATTATTTTACTTGACTTTGTATACTTGGTTTAATGCAGTGGCTAAAAATCCTGTTGTAGGGTTGTCTAATTTCTTGTTGTTCCTTTCATGCTTAAAGTGATTGTATACCTCCCGTGTACTCTCTTTTAAGGAATAAAATTCTCTGATTACTTATAAAAAAAAAAAAAAAGAGAGAAAACTACTGCAAGAACAAACAATATTCTACTTACCACAAGATTCCTGGTGGAGAGAAGTGCAAATGCAACGTTGCATAAAGGCTATATATTGGAAGAGACAAGTGCTAATGCAACCTAGAATCCCGTAGCTTCGTGTATGTGTAAGGTCAAATGAAGTGCATGAATGATGTGTTAAATTCTGGTTTTGCTATCATGTGGCCCCTAATGTGTTTTGGATGGCAGGGGCTGAGCACAATTTATATTTGAAGCCTGCAAAAATTCCCTTAATATGGCAGGGGCGGAGCATGATTATGTAATGTAGGAGCATGCTTGAAACTGGTGGGTCTATGGTTGCTATTTGGGTATGGCCCAATGGCTCCATCGTAAGGTGTCCTTCGTAGTGAGGCTAAATGGAGTGGGCTTGGGGTGGATTCATGGGCTTGATTCTGGGTGATATAGAGTGGATTGCACCTCTCTCATGAGCTATAGCTTTTGGGCAAAGTGGTTGCATCACCCTACATTAGTTGGTACCAAAGTTTGTGTTTTCCTCTCAGGTTTGATGGCTAGTCTTGATGGACGTAGTTGTCATACAAGTTTCGAAGAAAATGGTCCATTTTCAGGGTCTTTGATGCAGCCATCATTGTAAACAACGAGAATAAGTGGAGAATTTTTTGTAGACGTAATTTACAGCTTACGAATTTCACCTTTTGAGTGCTTGGATGATCTGAAGACAAGTGGCCTTGAAATAAAGATTCATGACCATTGGGTACAAAACAAGCTATGCGTTGTAATATTGGTGGTCGGTTTAGGACAATGTATGAACATGAGATTTGTCAAATCAAACAGATGATAGTCAGATAACATGAGTTATCGATTGGTCTCAGTGCTTAAGTTATGAGGCTAATAATCATGGCAAAACCTGGTGAAAAGTGGTTGCTTTGTCACCAGTCTCCAGAGATGATACGATAACTATGCATAGCTGTCTTCGTCATCTTTGGCTTTTTACTGGAAAATAGTTTTCAATTTAAATGTTGCCTTGGAATGACCATTCCTCTTCTTGATGACACTGAAGGAGCATTTTGGAGTGATTGCACATTGTAGTATAAATAAGCAGATACTTGTGTAGCCTTAAAGATTCTTTTTCATAGGGGTTAAAAATCATTATTTTTGTGCAGGAAAGGAGATTCCTCAAGATGACAATGGCCAGAGACTTTTGCTTTATGCAGGTGCTGATCATGTTCTGCATAAGGTTGGCAATCCACGATAATTTACGTTTCACATCTGCAAACTAAGCGTATTTAAAAGTTGCTCAGTTTACAGTCAAGATTATTGCTGAACAAGTTACTTTGAAGTTTCTTAGGATGGTTGGAAACATGTAGGGAAATTATTGGTGTAACATGATGATGCTATGCCTCAAAACACACAGCAGAACCCATTGTAAACATACCAGACTAATTGATAGTCTCTTTTTGAGTAATATATAAGAATTAGATTCCATATTAAAATCTCTTATTTGTCTGGCTAACTGGATGAGGCTAGATTAATATTCCACTGATATCTTCGAAGTAAGTGCCTCTGAATAAAAGAACAGGTCTGATGGAAAGTCTCTACAAGGTTGTACTTGAGTTGCATAACCCAAGTCCATATAATGTATCTTGAATAACCTATTTTTAATTGTCAGATTTAAGAAATTTTACGTTCTTGTACATGTCACTGTTTCATCTCAACTAAGAGGAAGAGATGAAATTTCTGGGAACTGGGTAAAATGGCATGGATTTAAGAGGAAAAGATCATTAATGAAAAACGGCTTGATCTATAGAATTCAAGTGGTAACTGATTCCTTTGGTTTTAAATGTAAGTATCATTTATAATTTATTAAAGGGCAATTCAACTATTAGTTTTTGAATAGTCGAGTGTAAGCTTTGCTGGTGCAATGTTGCCCGTAATAGGTCTAGTATCAGTTTTGAGGTCATGCTGGATGATTGACTCAACTAGTCTCAAGTTGATATAAAATTGTCGTGGTAGGTTTTATTTCATTTCAATCAACTATAAGAAACTACTGTATTGATCGACTGGGAAAAGACCAACATCTAATAGTGCAAGTGTTTTAACATTTCTTGACCAGCGTGCTAATGGAAATTACATAATTTAATATGTAAAATAAGCAGAGTAGCATTTTGTTGCAATTTCAGCCTTTCTGCTTTATACTGGAGGGTTGATTTCCTTGTCAAACTTTTCAGGTTTTGCGCTGGGGGAAGGCACAAAATGATCTAGACAGACTGAAGTTGAGGTTGTCTCAGTTATATTATCACAACCTTGTCCAAGTAAGATTGCTCAATGAATTAGTTTCGATGTTTTTTATGCCTTAGATCCAATGATGAGAATTCCTGTTGTTTAGCTCTCTGAACCAGTAGAAGGCCTAAAAGAATGGTTGGATGCTTTAGCTTCGTCGAACATCCCTTGTGCTGTTGTTTCAAGTGTTGACCGCAGAAACATGGTTGAGGCTTTGGAGCGAATGGGGCTCAAGAAGTATTTTCAGGTCACTGTTTCATCTCTTCTCCTCTTTTGTTTGGTGTCTGTGGGAGCTGACAGTTTTCTGACTGTGTCTTTTCTATGTTTGCCGTACAAATACAATTATGATGTCCGATTTTCATTATTACTTTATATTATTTGATGTTTTGTTTGCTTGTTTCCTGTGACATTGTGATTATGTTGTAATCCGTGTTAAGTTTGTCAAATGACTTCCGATTCTCTATAGACCCAGTTCCGGTTCTGTGGTAGTGGATTGTGAAGTATAAATATGACTAGTCCTCCTGTCGAATATGGACTTTGCTCACAGTTGTTAAAAATGTGCCTAGCACAAATTGCAATGAGGGGCATCCCAGGCACCTTTTGGCAATGAAGAGAGAAGCTTAAACAGAGCTCAGAAAAGTGCAAAGAACCAAAAAAACACTGATTTCAAAAAAGTGCTTTTGGATTATTTGTGTTGTAACTGGTGTTGATATTTTGGATGCTGTATGTAATTTCTTTCTTAAAAATAAAAGAAAGAAAAAAGAAAAAAAGAAAAGAAAAGGAAATAACTAGGCTGTTCTACTGCAAAGCTGACTGTCATCTGTTGGAGTTGCAGGCAATTGTGTCTGAGGAAGATGGTATGGAGTCCATAGCCCATAGATTCCTTTCAGCAGCTGTAAAGGTATGATTTTATAGTGATTGGGAGTAGTACTAAAATAACCCAGGTTAAATACATGTAGAAAATTTGCACTTATTCTTTTAATGCCTTTTTTCCTCCCCGGTTTACATTGAAACACACAGATGATGAATACCACATTTTAATCATAACATTTTGATCTACTTGAGAATTGTTTTGCAGTTGGACCGAAAACCGTCCAAGTGTGTCGTGTTTGAGGATGACCCCAGGGGAGTAACTGCTGCTCATAATTGTACAATGATGGCTGTAGCATTAATTGGTGCTCATCCAGCGTACGTATTCGCACCTTGTGTGTGTTATGAGCTCAGATGTACACACTTCTGATGACAAAATGAATCCATCGTGTCAAAAAATGTTAATGCTTTTCATGACAAAGGATCAAAATATTTCCTCTCATCGAACCCTGTTTTCTGTAGTGAATATTAATGTCGAGTTTAACATGCAGATACGATCTTGGGCAGGCTGATCTCGCAGTTGCGAGCTTTAATGAGCTTTCTGTAATCAATTTGCGGAGATTATTTGCTCACAAAGGTTCGAGTTTCATGGAATTGGAAAAGCAGATAATAGAGACGACTCCTTCGCGAAGAAAGCTCACTATTGACACTATATTCTGATTTTGCACCCATCCCCATTTTGCTCTCTCCGTCACTGTCATTCGATCATTGTAAATTTTGTAATTTAAGGGGGTAGATCATCTTGTGACATCCTCTCTTTCTCTTGGTCTGTGCATTTTTCTTTTTCTTTTTTATTTTTCCTTTGGTTTTATAGTGAAAAGGCAAACAATTTACAATAAAATGTATGTGAAATCTGCTCTGGTGGATGAAATCTCACATTTAAATAATTCTTCACTGGAAATACCAGTGCTTGATTTTTATCAAAGCTGCTTTTAAATTTTCTCATTTTATAGCTTGAACATACCTATCATCTCTTCATTTTCGTACTTATGATCACACTTTTTTTGTCGTATTCTTATCTTAAAATCTTCTGTTAATTTTAAGCCTAAAATTTTGTTATTATTCAGCTTTTTATTAATTAGCACATATTGGTCCTGGTGAAAATTTTGTTCAATAGATTTTTTATCGGGATTTATAAGGGAGCAATTATTTTGTCGTACATTTTTATTTATTTTTTCTTATTTAAAATACAAGAGAAAAATAATTCTTTTACACCCTCATGACATAATTTTTGGACGAAAATTATAATTAGACTAGAAGTGCTAATTTACGGAAGGTTAAGAATAATGATGTAATGAAAAAAATTCGGGAACACAAGTATGGCTAATAAGTAAAGATTAAAAATACCCAATGCAACTAAAATGTGGTACACTTGTAATAAACACGTGTCAACATGACCATGCATAAAATAGAAGTCGTTTTCGTCCGCCTGCCTCTTGGGACTGTAATATTATAAGGGTGCATTTGATTGCAAGCATGAAATTTGTATGGAAAAAAAATAAATTCTAGATAAATCAATTGCCTAGAGCTTATTTGTATGTAAATTGTCGATTAAATGTGTTTGATTGATTTAATTTTTAACCTAGAAAATATTATACTTGTCTATTTTTTATTGGTGGGTTAATGAGAGAGAGAGAATAAATAAGAGAGAGAAAGAGAGAGTGAATTCCGTGAAAAATAAAATTCTACTCTTTTTAAAAAAAATAGTTTAATTGATTTTGAGGAAAATATGGTCACGTTATCAAAAGTGGGAAAATATTTTAATGAAAAAAAATGACAATTAAACGGCACAAAAGCTATGGTAGGTGATGTACTTGACATCCATAATAGGGGCTATAGTTGGAATATTACTTTTGGGAGGGGTTTACAAGATTGGGAATTGGAAGATTATTCGTTGTTTTTGATTGCTCTGCATGAGATACAAATTCGGGTAGGAGAAGGTGATTGTAGCAGGTGGAGGTTAGCTCGAGATGGTATTTTTTCAGTCCGCTCATACTTTCAATCTCTTTTGGGATTTGTGGAGAGTTCATTACCTTGGAAGATGGTGTGGCAAAGTAAATTGCCTCCACGGGTAGCATTTCTATTGTGGACAGATATGAGGGGGCAGGTGTCAACGGTGGATAATCTTCGACGAAAAGGATTTTATGTAACCGAGTGGTGCTATATGTGCAAGAAGGATGGAGAGACGATCAATCATTTATTCATTCATTGTGATGGTGTGCGTTGGCTTTGGGACAGTATTCTAGCTTCTCAATCAATGAATTGGGTGCTACTTAGGCGTATAGAAGACTTGGTGTGGGCATGGAAAAGAAAATTTCGCGATAAGGATAGCAAACTTCTATGGAATCTTATCCCAAGATGCATTGTATGGTGCATATGGAGAGAACGGAACGATCGATATTTCGAAGACCAAACAAAGACAACAGAGCAGATAAGAGAATTATTTTACTTGACTTTGTATACTTGGTTTAATGCAGTGGCTAAAAATCCTGTTGTAGGGTTGTCTAATTTCTTGTTGTTCCTTTCATGCTTAAAGTGATTGTATACCTCCCGTGTACTCTCTTTTAAGTGGTGGATGGAGCAAAAATCTATTCCTTCCCATATTTCTTAATTGCTCTTTGACTGATTCACTTTAAGCTTTGATTTGAGCTTGTTGAGGAGCAACATTCACATGTTTAAGAAATATGAGAATGATTACTTGTAATAAATGCACGAGCTAAAATTTTGTTATTTGTACACCTTGGTATTAGCTATGCTAAATAAAAAAATCGTGAGCCCCCTTATTGTAAGGGGTTGTACACTATATACAGATAGCACTTCTCTACGAGCTAACGAGAAGAAAATGCCTTTCATAGCCTCTCTTTCGTACTTTCCTTGTTACATTGCTTACTACCTAGGCAATTGTTTATAACATCATGTAAACAAATAATCAAGTTTCGAGGGTTCCAACTTAAAAACTTAGGCCATGTTTGAGGTCAATTACTTTGAGGAAATGTTTCATGGAATAGTGATTGATGACGAATGTCTAGTTAAAAAAGAAGAATTTTTTTTTTTATTTGATTGTAATATTATTTTAATAAAGAATGTTTAGTTACAAATGAGTACTGTAAGAAAATAATGGGAAAGAATATAAATTTAAGGATGACAAACAGGAACTTAACAAAAGTACCATTTTAAATCCGACTATATCAATAACTATGCAAGCAAAAGGGATTTCTTAACCTAGAACTAGCACCCGAAGTTTAGAGACAATAACCATGCAAGCAAAAGCGATCATCAATCTTGAGAGATGGACATTTTTCAATTATTTCTAATCATTTCTGAAAAAATTATTTGAGCTTAACTAGGTTGACTAATTGAAACGAGCTTTCAACTAGCATGTTCTACGACAAATTAGAAGAATGTTTGGTATGCTGTAATGAATAAAATTAAGACAAAGTTTAGCCATCTCATCGCACAACTCGTAGAAAGTAGAAACTCCTATCCAATTACATGCATCAATTTTATTATGTAATCAGGATATAAAGTTCACAAGAGTAACTGCTACATTTTGCACAACAAATCAATGGCTTATCCTTCTGAAAGAGCATGAAAAAGTAGCTGACAATCACTTTGATTGAAAAATTCAATAAAAAATAACCTATTCTGCTCTAGGCTTAGTAGACAGTTCTCCAGAGCGGGTATTTGGTGGTGTTGGTTGAAGCTCCTCAATTTCTTTCACGACTAGTGCTTTGTCAGCTTCAAATGTTTCATCTTCTGCAAATTAATTATAGGTATAGACTTGTATGAGTTTCATCTATAATGATTATACAAAATGTGATTATAAGTCTCAATAATTTACCTTTTTCCAAGCAAAAGCCATCAAAGAAACGGAGAAGCTTGCTTTTGTTAGCGACTAATATGTTGACAATTTCAACAGGTTTGTTTTGGTTAGCCACAAAAAGCTGTAAGAACACAAAATAAGTGAATACTCAAAACTAACAAGAATTTCTTCATAAGTACTTATCAAATGTTAAGATTTGAAACCTTGAACACATGGAAAGCAGCAATCTGGATGTTCTTGTGTGACTCCTACAAAACATAATTTTAATCGAATTTAGATGACTCGAAACTGCATGATTGATGCAACCTGAAATTTGTCTTCGACATTTTATATTAGAATTTTCATCCTCAATTATTATAAAGAAATAAGCAGCTGGATGAGGCTAGATTAATATTCCACTGATATCTTCGAAGTAAGTGCCTCTGAATAAAAGAACAGGTCTGATGGAAAGTCTCTACAAGGTTGTACTTGAGTTGCATAACCCAAGTCCATATAATGTATCTTGAATAACCTATTTTTAATTGTCAGATTTAAGAAATTTTACGTTCTTGTACATGTCACTGTTTCATCTCAACTAAGAGGAAGAGATGAAATTTCTGGGAACTGGGTAAAATGGCATGGATTTAAGAGGAAAAGATCATTAATGAAAAACGGCTTGATCTATAGAATTCAAGTGGTAATTGATTCCTTTGGTTTTAAATGTAAGTATCATTTATAATTTATTAAAGGGCAATTCAACTATTAGTTTTTGAATAGTCGAGTGTAAGCTTTGCTGGTGCAATGTTGCCCGTAATAGGTCTAGTATCAGTTTTGAGGTCATGCTGGATGATTGACTCAACTAGTCTCAAGTTGATATAAAATTGTCGTGGTAGGTTTTATTTCATTTCAATCAACTATAAGAAACTACTGTATTGATCGACTGGGAAAAGACCAACATCTAATAGTGCAAGTGTTTTAACATTTCTTGACCAGCGTGCTAATGGAAATTACATAATTTAATATGTAAAATAAGCAGAGTAGCATTTTGTTGCAATTTCAGCCTTTCTGCTTTATACTGGAGGGTTGATTTCCTTGTCAAACTTTTCAGGTTTTGCGCTGGGGGAAGGCACAAAATGATCTAGACAGACTGAAGTTGAGGTTGTCTCAGTTATATTATCACAACCTTGTCCAAGTAAGATTGCTCAATGAATTAGTTTCGATGTTTTTTATGCCTTAGATCCAATGATGAGAATTCCTGTTGTTTAGCTCTCTGAACCAGTAGAAGACCTAAAAGAATGGTTGGATGCTTTAGCTTCGTCGAACATCCCTTGTGCTGTTGTTTCAAGTGTTGACCGCAGAAACATGGTTGAGGCTTTGGAGCGAATGGGGCTCAAGAAGTATTTTCAGGTCACTGTTTCATCTCTTCTCCTCTTTTGTTTGGTGTCTGTGGGAGCTGACAGTTTTCTGACTGTGTCTTTTCTATGTTTGCCGTACAAATACAATTATGATGTCCGATTTTCATTATTACTTTATATTATTTGATGTTTTGTTTGCTTGTTTCCTGTGACATTGTGATTATGTTGTAATCCGTGTTAAGTTTGTCAAATGACTTCCGATTCTCTATAGACCCAGTTCCGGTTCTGTGGTAGTGGATTGTGAAGTATAAATATGACTAGTCCTCCTGTCGAATATGGACTTTGCTCACAGTTGTTAAAAATGTGCCTAGCACAAATTGCAATGAGGGGCATCCCAGGCACCTTTTGGCAATGAAGAGAGAAGCTTAAACAGAGCTCAGAAAAGTGCAAAGAACCAAAAAAACACTGATTTCAAAAAAGTGCTTTTGGATTATTTGTGTTGTAACTGGTGTTGATATTTTGGATGCTGTATGTAATTTCTTTCTTAAAAATAAAAGAAAGAAAAAAGAAAAAAAGAAAAGAAAAGGAAATAACTAGGCTGTTCTACTGCAAAGCTGACTGTCATCTGTTGGAGTTGCAGGCAATTGTGTCTGAGGAAGATGGTATGGAGTCCATAGCCCATAGATTCCTTTCAGCAGCTGTAAAGGTATGATTTTATAGTGATTGGGAGTAGTACTAAAATAACCCAGGTTAAATACATGTAGAAAATTTGCACTTATTCTTTTAATGCCTTTTTTCCTCCCCGGTTTACATTGAAACACACAGATGATGAATACCACATTTTAATCATAACATTTTGATCTACTTGAGAATTGTTTTGCAGTTGGACCGAAAACCGTCCAAGTGTGTCGTGTTTGAGGATGACCCCAGGGGAGTAACTGCTGCTCATAATTGTACAATGATGGCTGTAGCATTAATTGGTGCTCATCCAGCGTACGTATTCGCACCTTGTGTGTGTTATGAGCTCAGATGTACACACTTCTGATGACAAAATGAATCCATCGTGTCAAAAAATGTTAATGCTTTTCATGACAAAGGATCAAAATATTTCCTCTCATCGAACCCTGTTTTCTGTAGTGAATATTAATGTCGAGTTTAACATGCAGATACGATCTTGGGCAGGCTGATCTCGCAGTTGCGAGCTTTAATGAGCTTTCTGTAATCAATTTGCGGAGATTATTTGCTCACAAAGGTTCGAGTTTCATGGAATTGGAAAAGCAGATAATAGAGACGACTCCTTCGCGAAGAAAGCTCACTATTGACACTATATTCTGATTTTGCACCCATCCCCATTTTGCTCTCTCCGTCTCTGTCATTCGATCATTGTAAATTTTGTAATTTAAGGGGGTAGATCATCTTGTGATATCCTCTCTTTCTCTTGGTCTGTGCATTTTTCTTTTTCTTTTTTATTTTTCCTTTGGTTTTATAGTGAAAAGGCAAACAATTTACAATAAAATGTATGTGAAATCTGCTCTGGTGGATGAAATCTCACATTTAAATAATTCTTCACTGGAAATACCAGTGCTTGATTTTTATCAAAGCTGCTTTTAAATTTTCTCATTTTATAGCTTGAACATACCTATCATCTCTTCATTTTCGTACTTATGATCACACTTTTTTTGTCGTATTCTTATCTTAAAATCTTCTGTTAATTTTAAGCCTAAAATTTTGTTATTATTCAGCTTTTTATTAATTAGCACATATTGGTCCTGGTGAAAATTTTGTTCAATAGATTTTTTATCGGGATTTATAAGGGAGCAATTATTTTGTCGTACATTTTTATTTATTTTTTCTTATTTAAAATACAAGAGAAAAATAATTCTTTTACACCCTCATGACATAATTTTTGGACGAAAATTATAATTAGACTAGAAGTGCTAATTTACGGAAGGTTAAGAATAATGATGTAATGAAAAAAATTCGGGAACACAAGTATGGCTAATAAGTAAAGATTAAAAATACCCAATGCAACTAAAATGTGGTACACTTGTAATAAACACGTGTCAACATGACCATGCATAAAATAGAAGTCGTTTTCGTCCGCCTGCCTCTTGGGAATGTAATATTATAAGGGTGCATTTGATTGCAAGCATGAAATTTGTATGGAAAAAAAATAAATTCTAGATAAATCAATTGCCTAGAGCTTATTTGTATGTAAATTGTCGATTAAATGTGTTTGATTGATTTAATTTTTAACCTAGAAAATATTATACTTGTCTATTTTTTATTGGTGGGTTAATGAGAGAGAGAGAATAAATAAGAGAGAGAAAGAGAGAGTGAATTCCGTGAAAAATAAAATTCTACTCTTTTTAAAAAAAATAGTTTAATTGATTTTGAGGAAAATATGGTCACGTTATCAAAAGTGGGAAAATATTTTAATGAAAAAAAATGACAATTAAACGGCACAAAAGTAGGAGTTTGGATGAAAAAACACATTTTCCATGAAAAATATAGGCAATCAAACACACTCTAAAAGAAATTTCCATTAAGTATTGTGAACCTCAAAAATTCCTAAGTAAATGTTCATATAGGGGGAGGGCGGGATGGCAAAATATATTGTCTCATTAAACTTTTCGGGAAGTTATTAACTGAATCTACCCCCAAACAAAGATTTCAATTTTTTCAAGGGGGGAAATTATGTGGTTGCTTTGGTGGTTGATAGCATTGAAGAAAAAGATTTTAAATATTATTTGAAAACGAGTTATTTAAGAGTATTATTATTTTCATTCATATTGTGAAATACAAGATATTCAACGAGGGAAATTATGTGGTTGCTTTGGTGGTTGATAGCATTGAAGAATAAGATTTGAAATATTATTTGAAAACGAGTTATTGAAGAGTATTATTATTCTCATTCATATTGTGAAATATGAGATATTCAACGGGGGAAATTATGTGGTTGCTTTGGTGGATAGCATTGAAGAATAAGATTTGAAATATTATTTGAAAACGAGTTATTTATGAGTATTATTATTTTCATTCATATTGTGAAATATGAGATATTCAACGGGGGAAATTATGTGGTTGCTTTGGTGGTTGATAGCATTGAAGAATAAGATTTGAAATATTATTTGAAAACGAGTTATTTAAGAGTATTATTATTTTCATTCATATTGTGAAATATGAGATATTCAAATATCTTGACTTATTTTTATAATTTAAATTACACGAATTTACGATTATTAACTTGATGATATAATTAGTACAACGAAATATTCATGAAAAAAAATGATATTAATCAAGAAACTCTAGCAAATAACACTTGGACAAACCAATAATTTGATCACACCAACACAATTCTTTACATTTTCTTCCACTCGAATTTGTAAAAAGCCATTACATGCATGATCTTTTCCATCATTTCACCAACTTGTCATAAAATTGAAGCATATGGCAATAATGGTTGTGTCATCAATTTAGCACTTCAAGTTCCATTATTCTCTACTCTTTCAATAGAATAATTAGTTCACTATAGTCGACGTATTTGATATACTGAACTGAATTTGAGCAAAATAAGAAACAACAATATTTTCATTTTATTCTACATATTGAATCTTATCAAGTCCAATGTTCCTATCATGCTAGGATTTTTAGTTGTCCAACAAGCAAAAGAAGATAAAAGGAGATATTTCATTTGATTAATGTGATCTCATTGGCTCAGGAAGGTAAGGGGTCCAAAACGTCTATTCACAATCTAATGCCTTTAACTAGAATTCTAATACTATCCCATTGTGCACCCTACCATAATAAATGTTAGGACATGTTCAGTTGTGTTATGTCAAATTGGAGGGAACACAAAATTGAAATTATTGGAAAATGTTTAACATATGAGTTGAGATTTACTGTCTCAAATTTGTTATTTCTCGATTCTCTTTTAGTACATATTTATTTATGTTAGGTATCTTAATAATTGAGAAGATGGCAACACATTTTTTTAAAATCATTATATTCTTAGCATATTTCCATTTTGCAAAAAAGACTTGATGTGTTGAGTTGTTAAAAATATATTAAAGGTACAATCCCCGAACATCGAGTTCTCAACGCTTAGTATATACTTCATGACATGTTTGAAAAGGTGCACGGTCGAGCTGGATAGTATTAAGAAAATGTTTGGTAAAGCTTACTTCTTTTCCTCAAAAAATTTAGGAAACTTTTCCAGCTAGCCTGCATTTTTATTCTTTAACTTTTGGCCAAAATGAAATTTGTCTCTCCCCGAAAATTTTAATAAATGTGATATTTAAATCATATTTAAATCATTGTAGTGTCCTCTTATTAAGATGTCTTCTAGGCAAAGTAGTCGTTTAGATTAGAAACTCACATCAATTTTTCCTATTTTGAAGATCATGTCTAAATGCTTCAAATTTCAAGCAAATGGAGAAAATTTATTAGCAGTTTTGAAGAGAGAAAAATATATGTGTCAAAGATAGTCCATTGAATAATCTAATTAACAATCCTAAGTTTCGTGATAATTGTGTATCTAGAACCAAGGGCAGATTCAGCCTTTTTGTGTAGTGGGATAAAAAAAATAATATAATATTAATGAAAATAAGTTAATATGCAATTTGATACTTTGAAAACATTTTACAATTATATTATTATTAATATTGTTAGATAAATTTTGCTACTTGTATAGTTTCATTTACCGTTTTATTGACAGATGTTGAGCAGACGGACGAGTAATCAAATTGAATGTAGGAAGCAAATGAATTGAAATAAAATTCACATTTAATCTAGAAAGTAAATGAAATTTAAATTTAATACAATAGGAATAATTTGAAAGTAATTTAAATTACATTTAATCCATAATGATCATAAAATTTTTGGCTTCATATTCCATGTAAAACTATCCAATAGAATGGCTTGTAAATTATAATGAAAAATTTATTATGCAAAAATAATAAATATTAATAAAATAATTAAATTTTTTTTAAGAAAATATGAGTTAGACAACTCTTTTAAGATGTATGTTTGACACATATTTAACTATTTTCGATATCTATTTAGACCACTCAATATGACTTTGATGTAATTCTTGAAACGAACTTTTAGATGACGTAGACGATTTGTAAATTCAATATATGATCATCGGCGAATTTTGAAAGTTAACATATAATTGAAAATTTCGAAATACTAGTTTGGAACGCTTCGTTTTAATGCGTTGTAAAATTTTGCTATGATTAGTCATTTCGCACGCCATGAACAAGTGAAAAATTAGGTTATGGGTACTTCTAAATGGTATTAAGAATGCAGTATTTCGACTTCATTTGGCATCATATAATGAATACGTCAAAGTAGGTCGTAAAGGTATCAAAACATTTATTTTCTAAAAAAAGAAATAAAGTCATTTGACCCCACATGACCTCATGTGGGTCCGTCCCTATCTAGAACTTAGGAATATGCTTAACTGGGATTAATTGCCCAAATTTCTATTTACTTTGTATTTTCCATTCGACTTTTGTAGGAAAACCCCTCTAGAATGGCTGATGCAAAAAATATATATATAATAATAAAAAAATAATAATATATATATAAAATGATGATAATAATAATAATAATTTCTTTTGCAGAAGATTGCATACACCGTTCACGTCAAGTTCTTAGACCTATACTTGGTGTTAGTCCTCTAATAGTGGATGACTTAGTTATGAAAAAGATATTTAGAAAGTGAAGCAACCTCACAAGATGCACGTCTTAAGATTGAGATTGAAGGGGATTTTTTATTTTTTTCTTTTGCGGGATCTTTTGTGTTCATACATATATGTTGAAATTAGAACCTTTCAATGTCGTGATGTAGAAAATATATAGAAGAATATTCGCGTAGATTATTCAACTCCACCCTTGAAATTCTAGATTCTTACATAAAATAAGTATAATGCATCGAGACACATTGAATTGGAAAAAAACTGCACAAGATAATAGACAAACACGTCTCTTTTAAATCATGTCGAATTGTATCAAGTTAATTGACTAAAGATGTCACCAATGTTTTGATGTCTTTGTCAAATAGCATTCGTTAAAATGTGTGCATTCCTTTGCTTCAATAATAGATAGCGGATGCCGAACAACTTCATGTCAAAGTTTAAATTGATGAAGATAGAAATACTAATTAATTAAAAAAAAAAAATTGTTTTCTACATGTTCTCGAAAGTAGGCAAAATTAACTGCATCTACATATTTTATACATGTATGTTTTCGATACTTAAGTCCTCATTCATATTGAACTGTCATTTCTTGGAGTAGAATTATTATATACAATTTTATATGCGACATGTTTCAAAATCTCACACTATCTTTCATTTAATCATACTATAGAGGTTAATAAGAGAAAAATAAAATAAAATAAAATAAAATATTTCACAACTTGATGACCATTCAATGTCCCACACTATGTAAGTAAAGTCCACAAATCTCCAACTTATTTACATCTTCTAATTATGTCATAATTTCAACTGCATTTCATTTTGGCTTTCTCTAAAGTAAGTTGCGATCCAGCAATGGTATA